AAAGTAGAGAGATGAAGTACCAGGACTTCAAATGCTGCCACTGAACACTGAGGTGCTTTTTGCGGACCTTCTGACATGGGAAAACAACGGCACAGAGGCAAAGATACTAGCGTGGGAGAAAACAGCTTTCTAATTCTTGAGGCAAAACAAGTAGTTCTGCCTTCTCCCCACCCAAGCGCTCGTTCTCGCCTGCTCTCCTCTTCCCACCTGCTGCACCACTACAAGTTTCTCTGACAGATTAGTTAAGTTCCCTGTACGGCCTCACAGCAGGATCTGCCAACAAGAAGGGGAAAGGCAAACACATCTCAATACATTTGTTAACGTTTCTGTGGCACAGGTTATTTTCATTTTGTTGCTTCCTTGTTAAAAACTGGAAGTTAAGTAGCTTTTTTCTTTTTCTACATGAAGGGAAATCTCTAAGCACAAGCTAGCAAAGCTTTCCCTAAGTTCCGAGTTGCATGCACCGCCCTTCCACTCACAACTAAAATTGTTCATGTACTTGTAAAGAAGGCACTAGGGTTTTTTTGTTTGGTTTTTTTAAATTGCCTTCCCTTATGATCTACTTAATGTTTCCTCAGTATCCTCGTTTGAGTATACGCATTTTATTTTGCATATTTATTGAGTCAGTGCATTTTATTTTGGGGATGTTCCCAGTGAACTGCTTACACGCTTTTGTGAATGAGGAAGAAAGCACAAAGGACTTGCGTAAGAATCTTTCTGTCATTTCAGAAGCCCCTTCCTATGTTTCTTCCACTCAGTTTGAACAGAAAAAGAAAAAAATCCCAACAACTAACCATTGTGAGTTACACGTAACCCAGCTGTATCCGAATGATCCAAACGTCATTTATCAACATAATGATAACAAGTATGGAATAGAGCCCAATACCACGGACACCCGTGGGAGACAGGACTGAAACACGTCAGAAGTTTATTAGCTGTGAGGTCTATTTGTTTGAGAAATCTCTGGGGGGACAGACAACTAACTCCTCTGGCTCTCACAATTAGGCAGTTGGGGTTTATTTGTTAAAAAAAGGGAGGGGATGTTTTTAGAATTTATTTGTACCACTTCCTCACTCTGTTGTTATTAATTTAAAACACTGATCAGAAATGTTCTGTTCAGCTATTTTGACCATAATCAATCCCTACTAACTCGCTCAATAGCTATCAAGTTATTTCCTTTATATTCAGGATATTGCACTGTTTTTTTCTTTTGTGGTGGTGGGGTTTGTTGTTTTTATTTGGATTTTTTTTCCCCAATCTACTTTATTTGGATTTTACAGTTCTGAACAACCTAAGGTTGACCTGTTTTGAGATGTGTGCCATCTCCTGGTCAGTGATACCGCCGCGAGCCTAAAACATTTCATCTTCATAAACCTCCTTTCAGCATCCTGATTTGAGACATCAGAATTAGCCTTGGTCAAACTGCAAGTTTAAATGGGACACAACAAATATGCATATTTGTGAATAAACGCAGTAACAGTTTAATCAAAAGACCAACCTGATAACGAAGAGCTGTGCACAGTGAGTCCTGACAGGGTTTAACTGCTTCTGAAAAGACCGTTAATTCAGTACTTCAAAGAAAATCTTGATTCAAACTTAAGCCAGTGGAAACCTGGAAAGCTGGCGCACAAGATAGCGTACCTTGTTTTAGTAAAAGCTAGCAGCGTCAATTAAAATGTATATATTCTAAACAGCACTTCTGTATATGATCTGCAATAGCTTCTTCCGTTTCAGTACACGTACGTATACTAAGGAACACTGTGAACAGACAGGGCCAAACATCTCTAGTTTGACTTTAGATTTTCCCCAGGAAAGGCATAAGCACGAATGTAAGAATTGATCTAGCTGTCATTACTAACTAAACCCCGTTACAAAGAAGGGGGAGAGGATCCATGAACCCCTTAAAAATTGGTTTAGGCTCCTTCACATCAGTCCAAATATTCACATAAACCATTTTGCAAATATAGCTACAAAGCCTTAAGGGTATAGTGTTTTGAGGAAAAACAAGCATGTTTTCATACACGGTCTCGTCTGTTCACAGGACATTCCTGTAATTAGATGTTGCCTGAATACAAAATTCAAGGCAAATACCGTTCCATATCTGACAGGTCCTCCTTCTCTTCCCTTTTCCTCATTTTAAAGTGATCATGCTATAGAGTACACTAAAGATACAATGTTTCAAGAAGAAATGACACAGGAAGAAGTTCTGCAGCCCCAAAGTTTTCCAACTATAGTAAACCACATAGTGAACTGCAAAGATATTTTCTAATAACAAACCAATGCTATTCTCAAAGAGCTATGCTCGTTAGCGTCCAAAGAATATCTACCAATTTTGAATTTTACATATATTTTAACATACCAACTATGGCAAGTTCCTATCACAATGTCAAAAAAGTGAAGCCATTCTAAGTATCATATTAAAGATTAATTTTAATTAATTCTTAAAATTAATTATAAATATTGCAATAAATTAACTTTTAATAATCCGTGCCTATTTGTTGTAGGGGAAGAAAGTCTCCCACAAAAGGCAAAGCTTATTAAGGAAGCATTTTTTAACCATTCAGTATGACAGAGCGCTGCAGATCACTCTTCTTTCCCTGAAGCTCAAGGTGTTCTAGATTCTGTACCATTTCTCAATTCAGAGAATTACAGCTGCCTTTTCCCTTTGCGTCTGATCTTCCACCTTAATCATTTCAAGCGAATTCCAAAAATTTAGAAGGTAGAATGCAGGCATCTTCTTTAAAAAACAGTCAGTCCTTACACAGAATTTTTTTATTTTCAGAAAGTTGTGAAACTTCCATGTTTCACAAACACAAAGTCAGTTCCGATAATAATAGCTCATTCAAAGCTGCCAATGCCATTGTGAAACACACAGAACGAGGCCTTTTAATTAACCATCTCTTTACTCGTAAGAAATTTACTTTAGATTTAAAGAAATCTCTTTACTCAGTTGAGATATTAAAATTATCAGTTAAAAAAATTTGGGCATGCAAAGAAACTTAAAAAGAACAGCAGTGTGTTACTTCATTAATCCTGTATGAACGAGCCAATCCTCTGCATTCTTCAAAATTTCTGTCTTCGTAAGTCCATCGTCTAACAGTTGCTTACTGTGCGTTTAGACATACAATCCGGCCCTGCTTAAGAAAAAGCCATCCTGGCCAAGCCAGTAAGCTCTACCACCTGTAACACCTCTGCTTTTCATTTCTGCTGAATGTGTCGCCGAGACTTTGTGGACAACAGCTGCATGTGAAAACACAGAAAATTTTTTCCAGGTGCACCGAGGCCACTTTAGCATTCACAATGACAGGCTTTATTTTTTCAAAAACAGAATAGTCAAATATACCGGTTTCAAATTAATTAAATTCAGCTTCTAGAAAGTTACAGGATGCAAGTTATTTCCCAAGCAGCAGTTATCAAGAAACTGGATAAAACAATAGGGTTAATCTACCTTTTCTTTTTCCACCTTACATCCAACATCATGGCACTCTTCCCCGGTATTGAATTTACTGATCTATCAATGTTTGTGGCATATGCCGATTTATCTGGAACAATATTTGGTTTTCACAAAGGCCGAGTTCATGCTCATCTTGAAAAAGGCATCTATAAATATTAATCTATTAAGAAAAAACTTGCCCTAAACCTATGTCTGACTCATATCATTCAGCACAGCCATCTAGTTCTGTTATCATCAACTATCCTTGGAGCTAACAAAAGATTACCGAAAAGAATCTAGTCATGATAGCCACAATACGGTAATAGAGAACAAACAAATACTTAAAGTTTTTCTTTGCTGGAATTAATTCTTTCCTTTTAGCCCCTGATACTCTACTTCAAAACCCTACTGCGATCTTTGTCAGAAGCACTCATCTTCACTAAATGAGAGCTGCTGATGGATAAATACTGGAAGGTTTAGAAAAGATTTTGTGGTTCTAGTTAGCATACAGAACACACCGTTTGACAGCTACTAAAAAATACTCTCATTACTTTAACTGAACTTTGTATGAGAAACTGGGATCTAATTCTCTTCATTTTCATGTTCGGTATTGAACATCACAGCAGAACCATCACTGCTCAGGGTGACCTTGCCAGCAATAAGCTTGCGTAACTTCTCAAAGGTACCACAAAGTCGATTCACTTTGGGAAAAGAAAAGATTGTTGTAAGAGGTATATAAACCACATTTCCATTGACAAATGGTTCCATGCTTTTTTCAACAAGTGTTTTTCCAAGATCTTCCGAAAAACAGTTCATTGAAGGTTGGAATTTGGATTTTCTTTCAGTAGGATCATCATTATACTCCTCACGTTCTGACATTAAATGGTCCAGCAGACTTCGCTTCATGATTTGTGCTGTGAAAATAACTTCACTGACCACTGCATTCTGCAGGTACTTCTCATCTTTAAGACTTGGATACACTGCTTTGAAGACCTTTACAACATACAAGAACACAAAACACGTTTATCATCAGAGGCTCAGATTTTAACATTTGCTTGTCAAAAAGAGCTTCTAAAACGTGAACATAATTTTTGATTCAATCCTGTTTTGCTTATTACTTCAAACATTTTCAGGTAACAGAAAAACTAGGCAGTATGAGTTGTTTTTATGTATTACAACTACAGTGGCAATTAGATAATTAACAGAACTTAAAAAAAAAATCAGGCTTATATCTGCAAGCTATACTTGTAGATCAGGCAAGGTGAAGCCCCGCAATTCTTTAATTCTTTTTAATTGTTCTCTTACTTTCCACATTACTCATCACGAGGCTCTGGTGACAGTTCCACAGCTACATAGATTCTAAACTACTTCTGAACTGTCATCTGGAAACCGGGACCGCAGCTATGTCTTTCACTCTGTTTTCAGAGTAAAACATTAAATATGTCGAGATCCTGAGAATGCTAAAAAAATAAGTTGTGACATCAAAATATATGAACTTGTAGTGTGTTATACAGTGAGCTATACTCCAAGGCAATTAAGGAAACTAGGCAAGCAATCTCATCCCCACTCGTTTACTAGGAAGTGCTTTATGCCAACACACTACCGCTGAAGTTCCACAGTCTATAACTATTTCTTCTTACTTTCTGATTACAGCTTGAAATGTTGATTTATTCCCATAAATTAGTTACATAATAAAATAAAAATTAATTTGATAGTCCAGGTTTGATAAGAAACAGTTAAGATATAACACTTTTGCTTAAACTCAAAGGATACTGATGTCAAAACTCCCTCCATAATGACCCTGTAACAGAAGATAATGAAAGCAATTTCTAGTACACATCAGTCACCTAGACATATTTCCAAGCTCGTTGAGCATTAAAGAGCACTTCATGATTCTATTAAGGGCAGTAGATGACAGGTGAAATTTCAGATATATAGAATGTCTTTACAGCTTGGAAACTACAAAAGACATTCCCCATAATCATAGAACAGTTTGGGTTGGAAGGGACCTCTAAAGGTCATCTAGTCCAACCCCCCTGCCGCGGGCAGGGACATCTTCAACTAGAGCAGGTTGCTCAGAGCCCCGTCCAACCTGACCTGGAATGTTTCCAGGGATGGGGCATCCACCACCTCTCTGGGCAACCGGTGCCAGTGCTTCACCACCCTCAGCATAAAACATTTCTTCTTTACATTTCACTTCAGGTCACAAGTCACTTGAAGATACTGTCCTGGTTTTGGCAGGGATAGAGTTAATTTCCTTCCTAGCAGCTGGTACAGTGCTGTGTTTTGGATTTAGGATGACAATAATGTTGATAACACACCGATGTTTTAGTTGTTGCTGAGCAGTGCTTACACTAGTCAAGGACTTTTCAGCTCCCCATGCTCTCCCGACTGAGAAGGCTGGAGGTGCACAAGAAGCTGGGAGGGGGCACAGCCAAACTGGCCACAGGGACATTCCATACCATGTGTCGTCATGCTCAGTACATAAACTGGGGGAAGCTGGCCGGGGGGGCCGCTGCTCAGGGACTGGCTGGGCATCGGTCAGCAGGTGGCGAGCAATTGCATCATGCATCACTTGCTTTGTGTATTATTATTACATTATTATTATTTTATTTCAATTCTTAAACTGTTTTTATCTCAACCCACGAGTTTTTCTCACTTCTACTCTTCCAATTCTCTCCCCCATCCCACCGGGGGTGGGGGGGGCAGTGAGTGAGCAGCTGGGTGGTGCTCAGTTGCCGACTGAGGTTAAACCACAACAGATACATATATATCTTTAAACAAAAAAGTGAAATATTAGAATATGTTCACTGAAACGTATAATTTAAGGCCTCATAAGATTGAAAAAAAAAACCCAATATATTTCCCTTTTTGCATTATTACTCCATGTTACCTTTGGAAAACCATGTCCTTTGATTTATACCACATGGCACTTTGATGCGTTAGGCTTTGTCAGTGTGACGCACTGCAGCACACAGCAGAGTACTTTAAAAAAATATTATCTGATGTTATCTAAAGTGAAAGCCATTTAGTGCTAAAAACCAAAAAGGTTTGATGTGCACCACTGGAGAACGGGGTACTTGGCAAGATCCCATGCCTCTGCAAAAACCAGAATTGGCTACCTGAAAACACTGAGATTAAGGTGTAACATCAAATGCTACTGAGTAAGGCAAACCACACAAAACAGGTTCTGTTAAGCCAATTTCTGGGAAATGCCTTCCTTCTGATAACGTATTTGACAAGACTATGCAGTTCTTCAAAACATACACTCTGTTAGAAATGCTTTTTTATGCTTTTTATGTATCTGAAAAATCTGTGTCAGTGCCAACAACCACATGATGAAAAAATGAACGATTAGAGGAACAATTATAAAAAGTGTCACAGTATACCTGGCAGAAAGGAGAATCTTCATTCTAAGGATAACAGTATGTTAAGATAAGAATGATTATCCATACTGCTATTTAGCAAATAACCTAAAAGTTGAAGGTCTTTATACAATTAGAAACACAAATCATGGACTTAAGACTCTTTTGATTGATGGTATGTGTTAATCAGAGCTAAGACTGGCTAGCAATAACAGACCACAGTAAGAACACCTTCACAGGCAGGCCATAGAAAATTTTACTCCTTATTCATCCTCCTAAAGGAAGAAAACAATACTTACCGTTTTGTAAACTGCTTCAGTGGGTTTCTCAGACCGAGCAGATTCAGTGGTTTGAGGATATTTTCTAACAAACACACCTATTTGGGTACAAAACCCAACTTTCTCCATTCCCGTTAGTGGATGCCCTACGCCAGTAAATTCCACTGAGTAATCATAGCGTCTAGCAGTCTCTAGAGCCCTAAGAAAAACAAATTATTCCAGTCATACTAAATATTCATCTTCTAATGTGATAAAGATGCATTCTCTAACAGAATCAAGACCCTGAGCCTGTGAATGCTTGAGCATAATTTCTCTAATAATACTCACATGCCTGAAGACAAACACTGTCAAAACTTGCTGAATCAGAGCTGTAATCATGTGCCTACCATAGTCTGAATCATTTCATATCGGTAATTTAGGCAACCAAACATTACTGTTATTTCTAAAATATCTGTATAGAATATGCACGTTCACAGTTGCTTACTCACTGTCTTAAATGCCCTGAAAGTGAGCTAAAAACCACCAATTTTAGAGAACAAAATTGAGAAGAACCCATAAAAAACATACATGCCCCAAAACCACAAGAGACCAGTTAATAGAAAAAAAAGTAAAGTTTGTTGTAAATGTATAAAGAGTAAAGTCTACCTAATCAAGGTTACAACAGTGTACATGACATCTAAATGAAAACCAATCTTGTAGTACTTACTATACATCAGCCAGCATGAAGAAAGCGATGGGGCAGGGAACTAAAATGGCACTACCTACTTGCATCATTCTCCATGAAAGAGTAGTAAACTAGATTAATATCTCCTGTATTTTAGAGACTACTGCAATACTCATAGTTCACAACACAAACGTAACGACTTTCTCATGCTTGCAGCTCAAAAAATATCACTCCTTCAGTGGTATCAATATTTTTAATTCACATATATCCAAAAGCAGAATCTAAATTTACTTTAAGTCATATAAATGGTTTCTAAGGTATTCATCCTTTAGCTAATAATCCAGGCAGGTTTTAGTATCATTATTTAGAGAAAAATATATGCTTCAAGCTTTGCAAAACTACTCAAAAGTCACTGCATACTTTAAAGTCTATGGCAGAAACAACCTAATTTAAGGGGCAAGTTTTCCAAGACACAATTTCTGACCAAGAGTCGGCTATTGAGGTACAGCATCCTTTACCGTACCATACATTTTCTTCCACAACTGCCCGACAGTCAAATGTTATCACAGGATATATATCCCACTCCCTCTTTATTTCATTTTTATTACATCTACTGATATTAGAGTAAGATACATCTCATGCAACCCTCTGCCATGTACGTATGCTTTGCATAAAATCTTTCATTGTGCTAATGATCCACTAAGCTATCCTTAACTTGATTCTGTAGTAGTGTTCTGCTACCGTGATTATTTGATAAATCTGTTTGCATACTCTTACAGAAAGGTCTGGACTAATTGAGTGCTTTGATTACGCACCATACACAGCGAGCACATTTCTTAGGTTTTTATGAAGCATTTCTATAGCAGGGTATTATGTGAAAAGGTTAATTAATTCCTTTTTGTATATCTTTATTACAATTAATGCATTTGAAGTGTAAGGTAAGTAAAAGTTTTAAGTATTTTTTGCAGAGCAGTTCCAGTAAAAGCAAGCCAACTTAACAACCGTCATAAAATGCAAAACCCACGGAGCATGCTTAACAGCAGAGAGATGTTTCACCAAATCAGTAGGTATGAAGCTCCACTGATGCCAAACCACGTACACAAACCATTCAGAAAATATTTAGCTATTCCTTTCTCACATTATTGAACACTCAAAGCTGTCTGCATACAATGTTCAGTAAACTTACCAGCTTTGAAACTGTGCTCGGTTCCATTCAAATTTGTGGTCTGGATGCCTGAATAATGTCACTCCTGGAAGCAAAGGGTTAAATTCAGAATTTGGAGTACTGATCACAACCATGCTTGGAGCCATGAAACCAAACACCACTTCAGGAAACTTCTTTAGTTCCGATTGTTCCAGGTGCTCTATTCTGTAAAGGATAAGTTTATGTATGTCTTTAATAAGATTGAAATATAGTAGGGTCTTTTTAACAACCAGTCAAAAAAAACCCCAAATGCATATCTGTACCTTGTAATTTTAAGCCTAGCTCTGCAATATTAGCACTGGCACTATGGCTGAGTGGCAGCTTAGAGGTTTTTGTCTGAGAAAACGTCCTCTTGCATTTTGTACTTTTTCATCAATATCCTTTTTCCACCACAAGCTAGCACCACTTGAATTTCTTAGCATGGTTAATTTAAGCACAAGTCAGAAGATGCCACATTCTGCTACTCTTCTGCTTGAAAGGTTTGATCAAGTCTGTTCAGATTATGGAGAAAATGCCAAACTGAACCCTAATGAACTTAGAAAAATATAGTATGTTGGCCTAATACTCACAGTTCAATACACGTTACCAAGTCAAAACCAAGCATGCAAGGATCTTTATGGGCAACTGAACCATGATGCAAGGTAACAGTTAGGGATCTTTCAGCCGGCTGCAAATAATCACCAGGAAGAGGAGACAACCTATGCCTACAAAAGTATTAAAAACACAAGGTCATAGAAAGGACCTTAGGACAAGATAAACTGTGCGTGTAACTGAATAGCTAACACCCTACATAGATACCTTGTAAATCTCAAAAAGGTTAACTATTTTACAGGGATAAAAAAAAAGAATTTCCAATACAAACACTTTTTATGACTATCTACAATAGGACAGAAAGAGCAGAGGAGTTAATCCAGCAGTTGTCCTTCATGTTTACAAAAATGTCTACTATACTCTCAAGCCACTTGCAAAGCCGCTTGTAAATTCTGATAGTAGCTCAACTCTAGACACATAGTAAGCCTGTCTTAGACAGGCTTTACAGGGGTTTTGAGGAAGTTATTAGGCAAGCATATTAACCTTTTTCCCCCCAAATAAAACAGACTGAGAACTACAATATATGTGCAAATTTCATTCCGAAATCCTGCATCAGACAAAACACACAATAAACATTAGATATAATAAAAGGCTACTTTTCTTCATTCTTGAGAAAGAGCAAGTGATAATGTCAGCATCTAGATCCTACACATCCACTGAAACAGTATTAATCAGCTTCCAAGAGAGGTGGTGTTGGTGTTCCTCACCAGTCTGACCCACGCTTCAAAGATCACATAAACTTCACACTGTAGAGCCTTCTAAGCCAGACAAAGCATTGAGCTAACCTTCCCATTTCTAAAAGACTAACAGGAATGAAGTCCCCACCAGGGTGACTAAAAGAGTTACGTGTACATTTCAAAGAGATCAGATTTGCATACCACAGTAATGTCATGTATGAGCATAAACAGATACTACTAATAGAGTGTGTCAGTACCTTTACAAACAGTGTATTTCTCGGATGTACACACCTTCAGGGCCACTCCATGACTTGGACCTTTGCTACATTAGGTGATGTTATGGGCACCTACAGCCCAGTAGGCCCCAGACACAGGTGGAACATGACCAAACAACAATGGATAGCTCTTCATTTGCCAAGCCGGTACTTCTGCATCTACCTTCATTTTGAAATTCTTGACAAGAAATGATGTAATGTGCTACTAGGTTGAGCCAAACACAAACCTTAAATTAACACAATGCAAGAGCTTACATTTTCTCTTTCATTACACTTGCACAGATATCTAGCCCAGCTAATACTTCAATGCAATTGCAGAATTTCAGCATCCAGAGAAGTGTACAGTCAGCACATCCTAAATCTGCCACCTGTAAATTAGATATTAAACAATGTGTAAATGCTGCATATTTCCAAGTAATTTCAGAGACTTCAATAAAATAAAAATTCCATATTTATGTCAAAATAACTTTTTAATGACAAAATAAAGCATTTCACAATCATAACTAAAATTTCAGTTGCAAGCAGGATAGACATGGATTTGAAAATTCTTTTAGAAGATGTATATGAAGATCCTACAAGATGTTTTAAATGGATTAACCTTTTGTTATTACAGCTCTAAACAAATACATGTAGAACATCCCATTGACTCTGGAGAATGTCTTCCACGTGAAGGCATATTCCCTCAAATAACTGTAAGGTATGATTTTTAAGTATTAAAGCTGTAGCAATTTTCACATTCACCACTGCTTTTCACTGGCCTACTCTCCATCCAAAACACTGCGAATAGGCTCACCAGCAGCCAGGTTAGCAGCAGCAAAGGATCTCCGTAAAACAAGTTTACAGGCTCAGTCTAATGTTTAAGTGGGGAAGGCTGGGGATATTCAGACCACAAAGTCAAATATATAGTAGATCTTCTTTCCTGTAAGCTTAAGAGGTAGTGAGTACACAAACCAAACCGCGCTGTTCTTTCTCAGGCTAAGTCAAGGTTGAAGCTTAGTACTCGGTGTGAAAATCCTGAACTGTTTCTTCAGCTTACCTCTACCCTGTGGGTCAACAGAAAGCGTACCCCCCCACACTTCATATCCTAAATCAGAAAATTCAAACCTTTAAATAGAGACGCAACACTCCTGAATACGTTCTATTTAAAAGCAGATTATAGTGCCATGACCTCATAGACTGGATTAGATTTTTATTAGAAGTGTGATTATGCAAGCACACTGCAGGTGCATTTCTCATCAATTTCTTGCACGCTCCCCAAGACATTAACATCCCTTTCAGAGTTAAACACTGAAGACAGAGGTATTTCTCAACTTTTTACATTTTGGAAGGAGGTGCTGGGACGGAAGACATATCAGAAAAGAGCAAACACTAAAAAAGTTTAATTATTTAACTTTTCAAGACAAGAAGAAAATCAAAA